AGGCAAGGTTAGAAAGATCATTTATTTTTAAACTTTTCGGTATGCATTTGTATTAGTCTTTCATTTTACAATTAAATTTTTCGAATACTTCAAAATATTTGATTTCTGCCCTTTTAGGTAAATTTAGATTAATATAATTTTACCTAAAAAGGGTCGTTTGGCATTGATAGTATGATCGCAGATCGGAAAAATGCTGGTGCGCTGCCAAGTCGAAGGAGAGTGGAAATTTAGGATGGCATTTAGAAAGGCGCAGGAGGAAGGAAGACTCCGAGGAAGAAGAGGTGGCGGAGTTCGCTTTTTTTCTTATATCCTCGTCTTTCTTTTAAAAATATATATCAAGTACGTGTTCGCAGCTATTTGCTGCGATTCCGGCACTCGAAAGTCATCCGTCTTCTCTGCTCTCCTTCGCCTTTCCAAATTCATAAACACTTCCGATTATCCAGGATGGTGGTGTATTTTCGTGGCTTCATATTTATATTTGGAGGATTAGTGCGTTCGACCGAAGGGGCGGTTATTTTTGGCTTTGGTATATATACAAAAAAAAAAAGGAAGAAGAAAATCACGATCTGTGGGGAGTGAGGACGACGCGGGGGTGGCAAGTGGCGGCCTCAAAAAAACCGCTCCATCGGGATTCGATGGTATTTTAAATTACAGAAGTTCAGGCGATATTTCATTCTTTTCGTCGGATACAAGTATAAATCTCGATTTGGAACGTTATCAAATGCATTCGGTCTTTCCGAGCCCTCTTCTCGTTGTTGTTTTTTTTTTATCTCCCAATGCTAATTATTATTCGCAGAATCTCTTCGAAACGCTGAAAGTTATAAATAACCATTGCAGTTTTATTCCGACAGAGTGGTACTTCGATGTGACTAACGCCGTAAAACATTTTATTGGTGCCAAGATGGCTTGTTGTCATTTAAGTGTGTCTCTGTATATACGTTAAAGGGAGTGCAATAACCAAAAGCTATAACATATTTTATGATCGTTGTAGGCAACCAACTGAACTCTAAATCCCTTTGCCTTCCCGGCGGGAACGGGAGTGAACGGGAGCGCCATCCAGAAAGTGGCGATTCAAATTGCAAATCGCTTTCTGCACATATTTTCCCTTTATATCCAATATTGATCATCTGCAATAAACATAATGCTAAAGATTTATAACACATATGCACCAATCTTCCATTTATCATCATTGATCACACCAAGATACCAACCATAAACAAGAACTCTAAAGTCAATATCAAACTATGAAATATACCTAAATTTACTGGATAATACAATATTTATGAGATACCATTTTTATATTGTATTTACTACATATATCATTCTTAAATCTGATTTCATTCAAAAATGATTTATAAGAACGATTGTTAATAATGTATCAATTTTTATAAACTATTGTTCTTTCTAAATAAATCATTATGTTTGATAGTTCTTTAAGTTTTCAAATGAATGCTTTTTTTTACGTTCCCATTGCATTTGAATCGGGGCGATGAAATTCATCAATTTTCACTTTATTACCACACTTGTTGGTCGTTTTTGAATAATTGAATAGGGGGGGAGCTTTGTGCATTCCGCGAGTCCTTATGAATATTCACCATTTGGAGAGAATCCTGCGAGTTGTTGTATATATTATTTCATTTTTTTCCCTGTAATTTTACGCGGGCGAAACAAAGGATAACAAAAAAAATAAAGGACGTAGGGATTTCGCATTAGCTGGCCGTGCATAAAAAGCCAGGGAGAAAAAGGACAGCTTAGGTGTACGACAGGGGGTAACAGTAAAAACAGAACAGGAGGACGAACGTGTACACGAGTTTGTTGCATATTAGTAAATCGGAGATTAGTTTTATGGAATTAATTGCGTAATTTGTTGGATGTATTCCCGCGGGTCCGCCAGTTTATTATTAATTCGGGCCTTAATACGCCCCCCCTTAATCCTCTTAAATTGAGGGACCATAAATATTTTGCATGCCCTCACCCAACGAAACATCCACCTTTTTACTTAAAAAAAAACAGACGGAGTCAGGATTTTGTTTTGGAGGGCCTTTTCTCTACTCCCTTAGGAATCGTTGTTTTTTTTCTACTTCCTCCACCTCTCTTCGCTTCATATGCAATACGTATTTTACTAATCGCTTCAAGGGTGAGTTTCACGTGCTCACGACTAACATAAGAGAGAGAGAGAAAAAAACAAACGAGGGTGGATGCAACATCTGGTTGCTGATTTCCATGAAAATGTATGAATAGGGGTATAAAAATGTCTAGGTGTTTTCCGGGGCGTCCGACGTCGTCCCTTACATAAGGAAACCATCGGGGAATATTTCTCAAAGCCAATAAATTGAATCCGTTCCTGTACCCTCGCTTATTAGATTCCCTTCTGCCTTTTGGTCTCCCTTGGACTGGATGCTCTGGATCCCTCTTGCATCAGCAGCAACAGAGTGCTGCTAGTGGTATCGAGTGACTCAGTCGGGAGATTCACTTAATGCAATTCAATACGTAATCATTGCATGTTGTGCGTTGCGCGATCGGAGTAATTGGATTTCATTTTGAAACGAGGAATAAGAAGAGGGCAGAAGGAGGATTGGTTTGCAGCCGCAGGACTCTTGCCATTGCCAACATCCCTACTTTACTCAAGTTTCACACACAAAGCAGCTTTAATTAAATGTTTGGATATCGAAATCACCTGTTATATATATACAAACATTTTACTTACTTTTTTGTTGTTGAAAAACACTTGTGAGGATAAAATGAGAAATATACAACTTTAAATTGTGATTTATATATATTTTCCAAATATGCATATTGTCGAGTAATATACCAAAACGTTATCGAGTGTAAAAAGGAATTTGCAGTGTAAAAAACAGTTTGATTTTGAAGTGAAGTTACTGTTTAATTTATATATTTTTTCAGAGTTACCAATCTTTGAAATACGGTACAATTACATAAGCATGTGCCAAGAATTCGACCCTAGCACTAAGCTGTATCTAAACGTGGCATTACTTACATCCTGACTTTCGGACTTTGGCCTTTTCGCGTGGCAATATTTCATCGATCCAGGGCGCGATGCCAAACTAAGAAAATGATTTCGCTCAAGAGCAGCGCGTTATTGCTTCTCCATTTAATGATAAACCATAAATCGACTACGACTCCGACAAACGTTGATGTCTTTCTAGAAACGTCCGATATTTGATTTAAAAGTTTCCATCCACTTCTCTCGTTGCCTTTTTTAATAGCTATACATCAGATTCAGCAAAATTTGGAACTTTTATATTACTGACTATAAAAAAAAAACGCAACATTTGTAACTTCAAGAAAAGAAGGTTTGTCTTTTCGAGCAAAGCTAATTCAGGGAACACTGACCAAGTGGAAACTGCATCATCCGCTTCCTTCGAGGCGTTTTTGTAATCGAGAAAAGTTTTTTTTTTCCCCGTATTCATAAGAAACTTGCAAGGACGCGAGGGTGACGTTTCTCCCTTCCGTAGTAAAATAAAAACTTTTTAATGGATTCATAAAGTACGTTTAATTTCGCTGTCCGAAAGTGAAAAAAAAAAAAATAATAAAGCAGAAGTAAAATGAAGATGAAATAAACTTGGGGTTATAAACAATAAAACGTGGTTGCGCAATTGAACCGAGGGCGGTTGTAATTGATTTAATCAGAACCGCGATTTTCCAATGCGGTTCAATTAATTAGTTAATGCGCTCAATCGGGTTCGTGTAATTACGAAACCATTTACCGTTTTTGTGCGTCGATTTTGGGGAGGGAAAACCCCAACCACCCTCAGTCGTGTTTGGTACTCCGGTTTTTTGCGGTAGTTGCATTAGCGGTTGCTGTTTTCAAAATCGATCAATGAGAGAAGAGCCGAGGGGAGGAGAGAGCCGCACACGTTGCCATTATTCCTTGAACAATGGAATTTGGGCGACTGATCATCCGGAGAGATGAGCCTCACCTCGTGGAAATGGAAAGTGGCCGTTTGTAACATTCCGTTGGAAAGGTCATCGCGGTGTGCAAATTGGAAACGAATACAGATGTAGATTGGTATCGCGGACACAAATTGTGATTAAGGGCTACACTTTGGAATGGGTTGCAGGGAGACACAAAAAAAAAGGGATGAGAGGTATCGGAAATCAATTTCGATTGCTTCAATTGCCTTGCAGATAGATATGGCCCTGCGTTGTAGCAGATATATTGCTATCGATCATATGTATACGTGGCATTAAATGGATTTTATCAACAATTGCATATTGGATCGCAATCGGGAGTCGATAAATAAAGGCATCCGATTGGCCGGAAAACTTAAATTGCAACTCCGAAACAGCGCAAATTTGTTGCGTGCTATTATAATTGAATCGTTTCCAATTCAGGAGATGCTTATACGAATATTCAGGAATAGTATACCATTTGCATTAATTGCAATTCATAATGCTCTCTCTATCAATAATGTTTAATTGTTTCCATGTACAGTCCAAATCCTGAAAAATCAGGACGTTTGATCACCCTAAAAATGGTACACCATTTGCATTTGTTGCAATTTATAATGCTGTATATACGGGTTTGCAATTTTCTATATAATCTGTACGTCGGTTGCGTGGCGTGCCGCATGACGCTTTGCACACAGTATTATTTATATCAGAATTGTTCTCCTGTTGTATGCGTGTCGAATGGAGGGAACTTAGCTACACGCCAACACGCAATTTTCGTGCAAAAAGTGTATAACGATTTACGGATTTATAATGTGTCCTAAATAAACAGGAATCATTAAATTCAGTATTCGGCCGGATTTTGGGGTTTGTTTTGTTTTGTTATTTATTTGTTTTTTTCCCAACGACTACTATCCGCGCGCAATATTAATCTCGACGCCCCAGCAAAACTTTCGAATGAACAGCCATCAATCACCATCCATGGCATGTTCGAATCTCTTTATTTGCATTATTAATTAAATCCTGTCGCTGATTGACGTGTGTTTTGCGCTCATATTGAAACCGCAACGTTTGCTTTTGTCTTTCAGATATTTGAAGACTATTACCATTTCGCATCGAAAGGTCCTGTGAAGAGGTCCCTGGACCAGCACCATACCAAGAGGATTGCATTGGCTGTAGATACTAGGATCCGATGGGCGAAGCAGCAGGTGGCGAAGAGCAGGAGGAAACGCGATTACGTGCTGATCGATACCGATCCTAAATGGCCGTCGATGTGGTATTTGGTAAGGATCCGCTTTTGAATAATCCCCGTGAGCTAATAAGTAATGAACGTTCGTCTCGTCTTTCGAACAGAACCGTGGCAACGGTCTCGATATGAACGTTATCCCGGCTTGGCTCGAAGGCATCACCGGGAAAGGTGCCGTCGTCACGATCCTCGACGATGGCTTAGAAAAGGATCATCCGGATTTATTTCACAACTATGTAAGCTATACTTCAATTATTTGCGATTCGGCGGAGCACCAGTTGCAAGTGAGCATCGATCAATCAATCAATACATTTCTTTTGAAAATGGTTTAGGACCCGATGGCTTCGTACGACGTAAACAACCAGGACTCCGATCCGAGTCCTAGATATGACATGATCGATTCGAATCGCCACGGGACTCGTTGCGCCGGTGAGGTTGCCGCAACTAGTAACAACTCTGTTTGCGCCCTCGGTGTTGCCCATGGGGCCCAAGTTGGAGGTGTCCGGATGCTGGATGGAGATGTCACCGATGCGGTGGAGGCTAGATCTCTTAGTTTGAACCCCCATCACATTGATATTTACAGCGCCTCTTGGGGTCCGGACGACGATGGAAAGACAGTGGATGGACCTGGAGAATTGGCCACCAGGGCTTTCATGGAAGGGGTCTCCAAGGTAATGAACTAATTTGGAGATGTAACCTGAACTGGAATGAGGTTGTGCGTTACAGGGTCGGAAAGGTAAAGGTTCAATCTTCGTTTGGGCTTCTGGAAACGGTGGTCGGGATCACGACAACTGCAATTGCGATGGTTACACCAATTCAATCTATAGTTTGTCAATCTCGAGCGCCACGGAAAAGGGAAACGTACCTTGGTACAGCGAGGCTTGCAGCTCGACGTTGGCATCCACGTACAGCAGCGGTGCTGTTGGTGAGAAGCAGGTGGTAACTACAGATCTTCATCATTCGTGTACAAGCAGCCACACCGGGACAAGTGCTTCTGCTCCTTTGGCCGCAGGCATCTGTGCCCTTGCTCTAGAAGCGAACCCTAATTTAACTTGGCGCGATATGCAGCATATTGTGGTCAGGACTGCTCGACCGCAGCGTCTTAGGGCTGAGGATTGGCAGACCAACGGTGTAGGCAGAAACGTTTCTCACAGCTTCGGCTACGGCTTGATGGATGCCCATGCCATGGTGCAATTAGCTAGGAAATGGATAACGGTTCCGGAGCAGCACAAATGCGAGATCCCCGCACCTCAGGTGGAAAGGTGAACGAACGCACGAAGGGATCACATTTGCATTGAAATGCTAATGCAAACATTTGTTTGTTTGTTTTTCGTTGTGTTTTCAGGACCATCCCTCCGAAGAGTACGGTGGTGTTGCAGCTGCAAGTGTCCGAGTGTCACGGTGTGAATGTCCTTGAGCACGTCCAGGCGAAATTGAGCATTTTTTCGCACAAACGTGGAGATCTGCAAATCCAACTGACATCTCCGATGGGCACGCGAGTGACCCTTTTGGCGCACAGGTTTGCATCATACATCTACTTGCTTTCCACTTTATTTTTATGTTTTGTGCTCTATCTATATCTATCGACAATTGCTGAAAACAAATGTAGGATTCACGATGTTTCCCGCTCCGGCTTCACGCACTGGCCTTTCATGTCCGTCCACTCTTGGGGCGAGTCTCCCTTCGGCACTTGGCAACTAGAAATACGCAATGACGGCCTGCTAGGTAACAATGGTAACAGTCGAATACTTATTTTTTTTTGTTGTTCATCCATGCGCCGCCGCCCCTTGTCACAGGGGTGAGGCGGCATTCGGATCGCTCATCACTAACATATCTACCAATCCACATATCCTTTCCCAATGAGAAAGAGAGAAAGAGTAAAAGACAGAAACAAAAAAAGAAAAGAATAGAAGAACTAACTGTTATTCAGCAGCATTAACAATACTAATTCACTTGCAGGCCGTGCGACGCTTCAAAATTGGTCGCTCGTGTTATACGGCACAAAAACCTTAAGCCAGAACGATGTGGAAACGCAAAAGTCGAGCAGCAAAAGCAAAAGCTCGTCGAAAAAGAAAAAGCAGAAGCAGAAGTCGAAAGGGCAGAAGGCGACGAGTGCGTCCCCATTTCCGCCGTCGACCTCCAAAAAGGGCAAATCGCAATCGGGAGGTGGCAGGTGGAACTCGAAGTTGAACACTGCCGCCCCCAAAACCAACCAAATCGGCGCCAAAAGCCAGACGAAACCGTTCGTCTCTTCGTTCTACTACGCGGTCAACAGCAAACTTAACGAATTCGCGAAAAACATCACGATCACCTATCCCGTCATGATTCCGGCACGCGAATTCGAAAAGACACGCGTCGACTACCGCAAAATACAGAAACAAAAGGAAATTAGCCGGGACATTAACTCGAACCGGAAAAATTTCACGCCTCGCCCAAACTCTTCCGATCAATTGCTCAATATTACAAAAGGAAGAAAGACCACTGGTAAATAGAACAAACAAACAAAATAATCATAAAATATAAATATATGATTTGCATGGTTTTTTTTTCTTATTATACTTCCTAAAATATACAGCGTGTCAAAGAAATCTAGTTTTTTTTTTTTTTTGAAATATTGCTAACATTAACGTTTTCCCCATAACACTTCATTTAGAAAAAGAACTACTAAAAATTCTATTAATGTTATCAATATAATAATAAATACAAATATAACGATTTAATTGATTGTTTTTAATTTGAAAGATTAAAATTGTTTGTTTTTATTTTATTTGAAATAATCATTCTTGAGATTCTCTACATGTCATCAATCATTATAATATTGTCTTAATTCTAGATGTATTTAACATTCTGTATATGATTAAATATTTATATAACACCCAGCAGTAAAAGCAAGCGAAAAGGACATTTTTAAAGTTATATTTTGTGTTTTCCGTAACATTCCACTCGTAGTTGGTTTTCTTGCCTAAAGTAGAAATTGGCGCACACAACCCACCCCCACGTTGTTTCATTTGATTCATTTGTTGTTGTTTATTTTTTTTGTGTTTTTTTTTATAATTTTTTTATACATATATATGTATATGTACGTATATATAAATATATGTAAATTTGTATTTTGATGCTATACAGTAGCTGTATTTAGCGGCTGAAAGGTTAATCAGAAGAAATACAGAAGTTTTCCTGATTTTAGCGGCCGCTATTAGCGCTTGGGATTTGGTCCTGTATGGAACTGCGAGCCCTCCGGCGGCGGATAGCAAGGGCGTACAAACTCTGGCGGCGAAGCAGCCGCCCCCAGTGAAGGGAGGCAATAAGAACGACGACGATTTCGAGCATAATTCGATTGATACAGACGTGCCGCCAGGGTGGAAATCAAACGCGAAGGTAAGTTTCTCGGCGGCATTCCTTCACTTGCAATCATAATCATCATCCATCGTCTGTTCGTAGATCCACAAGGAGACGTCGCAGGTCGAAGATCTAGCCCCGGAGATAAACACGCTGAACGGTTGTCAAAAATCCAGGGGATATTTATGTATAGGTTTGTTAACTGCCTTAACTATTTACTATTCCTACTGCAACAATCTTATGGTCGCTGTATCGCAACTACTAACGTTTCTACTTAATTCAATAATGATCATTGGTGCATATGTGTGGAGCCATGGTAAAAATGCTGCTGTGGGTTCTATTAAAGAAAATTCTGACAACAATATCCAATTAAATGAAGAGACGCGTCGTTGTCGTCCGGATGCAACTGCCGATGGGATACGTCGTCCATCAAGATTTGAATATCGTTGCTGCCAGACGGTTAGATGCGAACGCGCTAATCCTCAATCGCCTGGCTGCGATTGATTCAAACTTCAATAGCAGTTTCGTTACGAGACGACCTCGTAAAACAAACAAACAAACAAAGAAACAAAAGAAAATAATAACAGAAGCAAAATACGATTTTCGATAAATTTTCATTCTTTTCCATTCTTATTTTTTGTTTTTCTTATCCCAAAACGATACTATTTTTACTATTACTATTTATCTAATTGGTTTACTTAATTTAGCATAATTAATTTCAATTAACAAATTTTATAGGTGTATATATATATAATATATGGTATATGATGATTGAGATGGCGGTGTCACCGATGAGATTTTTGTTTATTTTTTATCTCGTAACTTAATATTTCACTTAACTAGTTTTATTACGTTTCGTTTCTTCGGGAGAGGAAGTCTAATGCTATCGACGAGCTTTCCCTGAATTGCATTTAGGGTTTGATTTTTTGTTTAACTTCTTTGTCCGCAGTATGACTTACTGGTGATGAGTGTGCCAAATTTTTGTTTGTTACACGATGGTAAATGCAAAACGCGATCGAATGATCACAAATAATAACAACAATAATTAAACGAAAATACACTTAATAATAAGTGCAATTTAACCGGAAGTTGATCCACGGATCATTTTGCAATTGATTGATCTCCGAATTTCAAATAAATATAGTTATATTGATAATTAGATAGACGAAAATAACCTACGTGTGCGTGTTTAATGATTTTGTTCACTTCCTCTATACTCGATCTATCTGTGTTACCAAACGTTGTTTTCTTCGTTAATTTTTCCATTTCACGTCTTCTTCTCAACTGTATTACTATGTCTACTATATCTTTATGTATCTGGAAGATGGGAATGCATTGGAAGACTCTTCACTCAGTTAAAGTGTCGTTCTGTGATGCTTCATACTATTAACCTTCGATTTCCTCACTCTTGGTTTCATATCTTTAATTTAGCTGTTGGGGTTTAGTATAATAATAATATTAATAATAATAATAATACTTAAATATATAAATATGATTAAAATCATTCTAGAGTGTTGTACCAAAATATACTAAATGTGAGATGGCCCACTATAAAAGTAATAATAATAATAATATATGAACAGAAACGTAATAAGAAATGAAAAGAAAGGAAAACATTCTACACATATTTAATACATATCTCATTTGATTGTGATTGGTTTTGTTTGTCTCTATGTTCGTTATATAATCCTCTTCTCGAATGGTTTATTTCATATCATTACAATATTTGCTGTGATTTTGTTTTTTAATTATGTAAATATGTTGATAGTCTCCAATAGTTTTATAAATAAATAACACAATGGTAGTTCCTCTATATTACATATAATCGTTTACACGCACTCGAATGCGAATTTTGCGTGCGTGCAAACATTAATTGACAATTCTTAATTAAGAGATATGTAACGACTTAACTTTACTTAACTTTTGTTCGGTGATTTCGTTCACTTAAACTTACATTATTTTAGCTCAAGTAAATATGATGAATGAGTGACTTATGTTTATAGTAAATACTCGTATATACAAAAAAAAAAAGAATAAACATGATTACTAATTATAATGTATATACATATATGTGTATATTGATACATACATGTATACACATATACAAATATGACGGAAACAAAGGAAACTCTTTTTTAGCTTTAGGAATTCCAACAAATAGTCCTAAAGGCCTAGTCTTAGCTGGTCTGTTGGCGCCTTGACACCTTGTACTTAACATCAAATTTTTTCCAAAGGTATCGGAACCCAGCAGACTAGCTGAATACTCATTATACTGATATGTTGTTAAAATACATGTAAAAAAAAAAACCTATTTGTAAAACTATTTAAAAAAAAAACTATATATATAATAAATAAATATATAATAATATTGAAATCTGAGAACAAGAATAAATGGTGGCTAAAATTCCATGTTGTTTTGTTGTTTTGTTATATTTACTGTTCGCTCATCGCCATTGTCGCTTTAAGGTAAGTGAGTTTGTCAGTGTGATTGTGCATGAACCTTTTTGTTTTTAATTGGTTATTTGTTGTCAGATTTTATCCACCTAATCACACTAACGGATAAAGGAATGGGCTTACGTAATTGTTTTGTTCTTCTCTGTTTCGTTTTCGTTTCGTTTTCTTCTCACACCGTACCATGTAATGCCATTATTATTTATTTTCTATTAAACTTTCTGTTGTTGTTGTTGTAATTTGTAGTCATCGGTGATTTATTTTCTTTTCAGTATGCATGGAGAATTTGTTTTTATTTGACGGAATGTGTGCGCCACAATGCCCTGAAAACTTTTTCCCAGTAGTGTATGTAGGTGGTAATGAGAAGGCAGAGGACTCTAGCCCAGCTCTGAATTACTGCAACCCGTGCCATTACAGTTGTAAATCCTGTAACGGCAGCAACGACTACGATTGCAACGATTGCTATCCCGATGCCGTTCTTTTCACAAGGACAAAGGACGAATCCTACTGCTATCCGAACTCCATGATGTACTCTTTGAACGAGATCGATTGGTACTATGGTATTCTGATCTTCGTTCTCGTTTTGGTCGCCCTCGGGTTAGCCATTGCCCTTTTCGTGTACTGCATTAGGAGCAAACCAAATAGGGGTGACTTCATGAAAATGAACACCTACAAGAATATCAGAAACATTGAGAGGAAGGTCAAATCCGCAGTTTACAGCGACAGTGAATGAATTTGTGATATATCTACTTGTTTAATTACAAGCCCAGCACTTCTTTAACTATCATCAAATCGTACCAAAGTCGACAAATTTGCCTTAACTTCAAAACTACCCTTATCTTGTTTAATAAAAAAATCTCCAATTAATTGCAATTTAATTAACTAAACTCAAAAACGTAGCTTAAAATAGATGATAGTTAAAGATGGGTTTTGTTATAGTTCTGGGACTATAATTTCTACTTTATTCTTTTTTTTTTTGTTAGTTAATGTGTTTTATTGATGTTGAGACTAAGGCCCCACCATTTTCGCTCTTTTCTTTAATTATCTTAACCTCGGGTTAGTCAAAGCAAAAGAAAAGAACGGAAATAAGTAAATTAAGTGTAGATGTATATTTTTCTAATTTTTAATAACATACATGTATATGTTTGTACACATGTGTTAGAAGGAGTGCTTCAATTCGCGGGTCGATTATGTAAACTGTTTTATTTTTTATTTTTCTTTCTCTGGAAAATTGACTCGTGTGAAATGCAGTCAAGTGATATACGACGCAATACGCTGAAAATGCTTATTCAGTCGATGCATAACACTTACATTTCAACAACAACAAAAAACCCGCATTCTCCCTCCAAACTTAAATGTAACATAGATTTTCCTAAATAAAATACGACTTGTTTGTTTCTTAATTTCTTAATTATAATTTAGTTACTTTTAAAATACTGCGCATTTTCCCAAAACAACATTAGCCATTTGTTTTGACAAGTTTGCAAATATTGGGAACGTGTCGATAGTATTTAAACTTTGATATTATATCTGAGGTCTAAAGGCAAAGCAGCTATTAATAGGTTTCTTGAATTTGGTACTCTTATCCACAGTTCAATGGAATTTTCAGAATTCAATAATGTTGTGATAATATCTAAATTAAAGTATATCAATTAAGAAATTATTTTTATTAAATTCAATTAGCATAAAATTAATATAATAACCGTTATTATAGAAAGTAGATACTATCAAATAAAGCCATTGACGTAAGAAAATTCTTAGAATCCTTTAGGCTGTGAGTTAAGTCAGGATTAAAGGAAGCCTTTCCTTTTTCTAAGTCTTCTAAAAAAAACAAGTAAAAAAACTCATTTTACAACTTATATTTAAAATTCCTTTATTGTATTTATGTTTTGGACCAAGAAAATTTTGTATAAAGAAATACAGCAACTAACGTTACCTGGATTTTCAACTTCGTCTGTACATGTTTTAAATAATAAATGGAACAAAAACTGGAATTCAATTGATTTTCTAATTAAATAAAACATTAATAAATAACCTATTGTTAATAATTAATTAATAGTTTAACATGGCTAAACTTACGTAGATTCAAGTAAGGAATCAGTGGTAGATGATTTATAAAATTGAATGAAGCAATGAAATAAATGGACACAAAATAAACAAAAATGTCTGAATATTAATTTGTTTTTTTTAATTTTTTTATTACACACGCCTTATTTACACGTTCTCCTTTTTGCATAAAATTTGCGAGTTGTAGCAAATTTTCGAAAATGCTTATTTGACATTTATCGATTACTACGACTTTTCAATTTGTTGCTTTAAATAGAAATTATTTGTAATGATTACATTTTACTTAATCTTTTGATATTTTCATTAATTATAATATTATGAACAATTTAAATTTAACAAAGTATTAATAATTGGTTAATACCTTGTGAAAGGTTGATTGCTTTATGAATTAGTGAATTTATCTAGATGAGGTAATCAGAATTGATAATGAGAAAGAAAGTGGATAATTGGAATTCAAAAAATTTACAGCTATGTATAGAGCTTTGAAGCAATCAAAGATTAAGGCCAAAAATTATAATTGGGAAAGGTTTATCGAAGAAGTAGTTGAAATTAGGTCTTTCGCTTTTGATTCGCTCGAAGAAACGTTGATCGAGATTTATGAGATTTATCAGAGCAAGAATCTGTTTCTCTTTTTTTTTTCTAAAGAATTTTGGTCATGCCAGAAACTGGAGTGGGTGTGTGTGTGTGTGTAAGAGCCGAAATACAGTTTTGTGACCTGAAAGAAGGTCGTATCTGAGTGCGGCCGGCGGCGGTAGCATAGGAAATTCAAAATGAATTTCAAGATTCAAAAAAAGGATTATGTGAAAGTATTGATTTGGCGCCTTGGGATTTTGCGGATTTTAATGTTGGTAATATGTATGGATAGGGGCGGTTCCATTTATAACGCGCATGCGAATGCATAGGATTGGTCATTATTCCACGCTGGCTGTTCCGTGAGTGAGCATCTATACTGGTTCGGCAGTGATCCATTGGGTAGGCCACGAACATATTGCGACACTACTTGAGGCATTGCGTCCAACCAAATCTGCCGGATTTGTAGTCGCGAGTGGACATACATACGGTGACTATAAATAACGCGCTACGAAGAAGACATCAGTGTTGTTGATATGAAAAGGAAAATCCAATAAGATGTCCCATCTTTTCGACTACTTTGTTAAGGGCGATGCGAACATGGACGTAAGCTCAATTCTTACTGACGACATCAACAATATGGATATCCCATTAGGATTCGAGAACTCTGAGTACATGGTAAAAGTCTTTTTATATCTGACCCATATAATGCAATACCCCTTTGTGCAGAAGTCCGGAACTGCATTTTCCAAACCAAAACGGCACTAAAATTTACAAGCTGTGTGGTGCCGGATTGTTATCTGTTATGCTGTCTATTAGACATTTAAATATTTGAGATTAGATTCCCGAATAATACTATTATCACATACAGCGTAATTATCTTATTTACTTAAATATACAAATACTCCTGTCAATTTGCATAGAGGTCAAAGAAGACCCTAGTAATTTGCCTTTACAGAACTAATGTTTCTTTCTTTTCTGTATTTCCAACAGAGCTCAGATTTCTTTGATTCTGTTTTGTCTATGGAAAAGCAGAATCTTGATGTCTTGGATGACAACCTGCTTGATGCCAGCTATGAGTTCAATTCTAATGAGAACACTGTGCAGTCCCCATTGCACAGTGCAGTCTCTTCCTCAGACAACAGCTCCATGGATGAACAAAACTTCAATATGATGAATATGAACAATATGTAAGCATATGTTGTTAACCTAACAATCCCATGTGTTCTCTAAATTACATGATAAACCTGTTTGTATGACCTTTCACTTTGCTAAAAAGAAATTTGTATCAGCATTTCTAATTTCCATACTTTTACTTTAATCCAGTTCACCCATTTCTTTCACTATAAACAAGTTTATTTGTAATTTATGCATCTTTTTTTTAAATAATTCCTATTTGTTATTGTATCCCTGTTTCAGTACATTATTTGGAAATGAAAATAGCGAAACGCTTAAAGGAGACGATTTCTTATCTTTATTCGGACAAGAGCCTACTTTGCAGAATAACATAAATGATTTGATTGGTGTCACTAATCCACCAAAAGTTGTTATTCGTCAACCTAATAATAACACAAAGAAAGTTATTGTTTCAAAACCAATAAACACACAAAGTATAACTTAATTAGCCTCACGTCGAAATGTATTATTCATTTGACATTGTATCAATTTGCAGGTAAAAAGGGATTCCAACCTGGAAAGAAACAAGTCATTAGGGTCCAATCTATATCTGGAAATGGAAGGTATAAACAACTTCGGCAAATCAAATTTCACCTTGCATTAGTCTTTTCAATTATTCATTAATCACATGCACCTATCGAAACATTAGCTACTAACGGTAAATCGATAAAAGAAACGAATAATTCAACGTTATTACGAAAATCGATATTATCAGTTATTTTTATATCATACAAACATATCAATTTCATACATTGTATTCTAAACTATTTGTTACATAAAAAAAAGATATGCAGAAAAAGCTTCTTCATTATGAAATTGAAGTTGCTTAAATTTTGTCTGAAACATTGATCACTAAATCACATAAACATATATATTAGCAACTGTGAATTCAATTAGCACAAACTTAATGTATACTAATAAAATTGTAGATCTTTACTGCTGCCGGTCAATGTGAAAAATATGAAAAAGTTTAAAATCATAAACGCGAATGATTTGAAAATGGACAGCATAAAGGTTTTGCCGGCAACCTGTCAACAGGTGATTAAGAAAGTTGAACAGTATGCCGCCTCCACTTCTTCGGAGTCAGTCGATGGTAATCTCAAATATAGCGTCTCCTCGAAGTAGTCACTAAAAAAAACAATTTGTTGACAGTTTCAGATATTGAGGTTGACATCGAAAATCTAGGAAGCGAGAGAAGCTATCCGCCTTTGGAGTTAACTGCGGAAGAAAAGAGATTGCTTTTCAAGGAAGGTATCAAGCTACCGACACACTATCCGCTTACCAAAAATGATGAGAAGGAACTGAAGAGGATCAGGAGGAAGATCCGCAACAAGATCTCTGCACAAGATTCGCGTAAACGCAAGAAGGAGTACGTCGATCAGCTGGAAGAAAAGTATGGAGGATTTTTAACATCGAGTGGGCGTTTTTTTTGTATTAATTGCTTTGTCATTCAAGGGCTAGGCGTACCGATGAGGAGAATGAAATTTTAAAGAAGCGCGTTAAGTTGCTTAATAAAGAAAATACCAAACTTTATGAGCAACTAAAGAAACTGCAGGAGCTCCTGTTCAGTTCGTCTAGCAAGGCTACGCCTACGACGTGCTTGATGATCGTACTGTTCTCTACACTCTTAGTCTGCTTACCGAACATTAAAACGTCCGATAAGAGCGAATTAGAAATCGGGGACCAACAGCTGATCTCGGCTAGAAGAGCCCTGTTATTCAACACACTCAGTAAGTTAATCTTATCACGATGCCAAGTGCATATCAATATTTTCTTTAAATTTAGATAAGGATGAGGATGATCAAAGCCTCGAGGAGTTTTTGGTGTTTAATAAAGAGGAGGAGATGCGTTTCGATGAGGAAGAGAAGGAGAACGGAACAAATGCGTTCGTTAAGTATTTAGGAGATCTGTCCAAGAAGTATGAGGGTCTCATAAAGTCGAATTGCACGGAAATTCTTCAGGGCGGGTCGCTGCATGACTTCTGCAAAAAGCACGAGGACGAGTTCAAGCTTGCCTTACAGAATTTGCGATCGTTCATGGAGACGAGCAAATCGGAGGATAAGAAGTTCATAGAACCGGACATATCCGACGACGAAGGCGAGATCATGCCAATAAGACGCAGCTCGTACTTGTCAGACGACGATGATCCGCCGACTAAAAAGATACGCATATCCAGCGAGAATTTGGACTACGATAAGGCAAGTCCGGATTCGATTTTGGAATTCGAAGTCAAGTCCAAGGAGCCGAAAACTTTAAATTTATCTAAAGGTTTTCAAATCTAATGTGTTTGGAGCATGCAGACACGGCTGGCGAAGAGGTCGCCGATTTATTGTTTTGGACATCATAAAATGATGTTTTGTTTCAAATTTTATTATATTGTTGCACTATGTTCGGTGTATATTTTATATTTATGTATATAGAAATTTTCTTTTTAGTGATCTTTCCACTTACATTTTAAGATAAATCTTAATTACTCACGATGTAAATACGCACCCTTAGTCTATAATTTCGTTTTGTTTCCTCTATGTTCTTTCATTCTCTCGGTTACTTACATAATTATATACATATGTAATAGATAGAGTAACTGTTCCATATATGATATATGATGCATTCTAGAAGAAACTACGATATAAATATATAGATTATAAATGTAATAAGATAGGTTTAATTGGTGCGATTTTAATTTGTGCTTTTCTGTGAATTTTTAAAGACTGGAGAGTAGACGCAATTTCACTTTTATTTGTGCAATGGATTATTATTTTTTATGAATAAATTTATTTAAAAATTATGAAAAATTACAGATTATACTAATAAAAATATATAATAAATGTTACACAAGCCACGAAAACTGCGTTCTTAGATTGCCCACAATCACAGAGCGTACACGCTTTATCACGTTACGCTGCAACGATTGTATATGTAACTAAATTATCTAATCGCAATTAGTACTATCTGCTTATATTTCAACAGATATTGAGAATATTCTACAGCATGTTACAGTTAAACGCATATATATATATATATTTATGTTATGTCATCCATTACAATAATCAATGCAAATTACTTGTAAATGAACATATAATAAAGAATACCTGGGATAATAAATAGTATGGGTTATAACAGTGATTCTCAAAGTGAGGGTTGTAATATATTTGGGGGGTCGCAAAAAATATTGACAGATCAATCTTAGTTGTTTTTCTACGTCAGCGTTTTCCAAACTGTGCGGCGCGCCTCCCTGTGGAGGCATGGACTAAGGGGAGGCGCGAATATTAGTAGCAGTGAGCAATTTTCCAAATATCTGCTAAAGTATAGATACATTAGTGTGCTCTTGTCCATATTACTGTAATACGCGTTCAAAGTTGAAAAATTTAAATTAGAACGTTTGAAAAAGCAGTGTTTTTACATT